CAGGAAGGCCGTGGGCTGACGTCCTTCCCACGTCGGGAGGGAGCCCGTGCCCCGTCATGCAAACACACCTCTGCTGGGAGGCACCTCTTTCTCAAACGCACGGCAAGACCAGCATCCCCACTGCTTGCAGGCCTAAGAAAGAGGCTGGCAATTTTTGAGTCAAAGTTTTAACTCTTGTGTCCTGATTGAGTTACCACAACTCAGATCAGAGACAGCTGCAGTTCAGTTTCCTCAAAGAATGACTCAGACAAATATTTGACTGATTTATCAGCCAAAATCTGTAAAATTCTCCAGTTCCCCAGTCTTGAAAAGGAAAACACGATAACTGACAATGGCACACAGCTTTTCAATAATGTAACATGATTGTGAATTTCCTGTAACTCTACAAGACTAATTATTTCATGGGAACAATGTTCAAAATCACTTAAATAGTGACAGGTACTAATTCTAACACTAGTTAAAGATGCCAAACATTCATTCAAATGTCCTGTCATAACCTCCCAGACCAGCATGGCAAAGTCAACTGTCGAAAAGCAGTCTGAGAAGTTCACCTAGTTAACTATTCAGGTGCTTTTTCTGCCTTTTTGGGACAATATGTTCTGTTGACTCCTTTTACAGAAAATAGCTTTTTCAGCAGTTATAACATCTCATTTTGTCAAAATTACTTTTTTGTCCAACATGATTGTCACTAATAATAGTTTTTAGTTAACCAGAATTATTTCAACAGCAAAGTGTTCCCCTGAAATGATTCATCGTGGGCATAGGAATAGGTTTTATAGCAAGTGTATTATTATCAGAATATAAGAAGATTATTTTTTTTTTCCCTTGCCATTTTTTTAAAAACAAGATACTTAGATTTCTTCCTAAATTCCAGCTTTTGAGTCCTGAATACTACCAGAAAACTATCTGTGCTTAAAAGCAGTGATGAGCTTTGCTGAATATAAGTGACTGGGTGAATCCAAAAAAACTCTGTAGATGGTACCCACATACCTTCTCTGGGCAGAGAGAGAGCAGTACATCGGTTCCATGTAAAGCCAAGAAGTGACGCCTGTTTTGGGATGATTTCTGTAGGACCTACAAGACCTTGCAATTCCACAGCAAGCCACAAATGTCTTGGACAACCCCCAAAATCACAGTGTTTGATATTCCCCTTAAGTTTTACAAATAAAATAATCTGTATGGGGGAAAACAATTAAAAAAACCCCAACCCTAACTGATTCTAAACTATTCAGACTTGAGCCTTAAATTATTTTTATTGTAAGTAATACTGAAAGAGCAGCAGCTCCTCTCATGCACAGAAAGCACTGGTAACAAAGCGTTATCATCTCCTATGTGTCTTCAAACCACAAAGGCACACTTAACAGAGCTAAGGAAAAGGCCCCTTTGCTCCCTGAAATTATAACATAAGTGGATATAGTACGAAAGACTGATTACTAGAGTTAGATTTAAAAAATTTAGGAGCAAGAAGTTTTAAAAAGATAGGCTGCGCTGCTTTTTGGAGAATGTCTAAGTTACTAATTTGAACTGAATCTGCATGCAGGGGGTAGGTAAGTGCAACTGTTGTTACAAAACAGCATGCGGAAAAGGATTTTCTTAAACTTCTGAGCAGATCTGCTCTGGGATACTGGGTCAGTCCACGGCCTAATGCACAGTTAGTTCTTCTAATACTGTTGGCTTTCTTGTTCTGTTCCAGCCACATTACTCCAGACAATAAAGGAGATCTAGCTAACAAATCCTACAGGAAAACCACAGAGTCAATTAAAAAATGGAGTTCATTTCAGATATGAGCTAAATTCCTCCACTAGCCAGGCAGCAGGAGATGCTGGGCAGAGAAACAGCCTCAGTGACTTTGTTCAAGACGTCTCTGTGAACTTCTGCAGTTAGCCCAGAAGGGCTTATCCCACATCACCACAACCAGAGTGCCAGATCTGCCACCGCGCTGCAGCCAATGCAAACCAGGTACAAAACAGGTGGAAATGGTACACTGATCTGGTAATATCTCACATTTCCCTTACCAAACAGATAAGATGCTGAGAAGTCATGCTCCCTGCACCTCAGGGGCTGGGTTAAGACTTCCAGTGAAATAGTTTTGAGAGAGATTTGGGCAACCAGGACGTGCCACAGAATCTCACAGAATACGATCGTTTAAAATAAGAAGCCATTTCTGTCTGAGCAGAGCAGTGATGACAGACGAACCCTCTCAGACAAACCTGGCTGGAAGTTCTTCAGCACAGACATCTGTGATTAATTCAGCTTGTGTTTTAACTCCACAGTTCACTTTTATTTTAAATCAACAAGGCACCCACGTATCGAACTTCACAAGTATATTGCTGTGCGTCTTTTAATCTCCAGGTGACTAACTGGCCCATCAGTCTTATTGCTGTAACACTTCATACAGTTAATGCAGGCAGCATATCCAAGCAGGTCACTATTAACATCAACAGCTGCTGCCAACCGGCAAAAGGAACCACAACCCTTCAGAAGATTTAAAAATTACCCATTGAAGTTCATCTGGTCTCCATGCTAACACAGCAGGTATGAGTACAGATCAGCTTTTCCCTGTCCACACGGTCCCTATCAGCTGGAGCACTGACTTGTGAGCGGGTAACAGGGCAGCTACCAGCAGGGAGTGAAATCACACGGTAACAACTGCATATCACTTGCTCCTACTAGCCTTAAATAACACCATCGCTTTAAACAGCATAAAAATTTCATAGTGTAGTTTCCATCAAGGAACGTGGAAGAGGTTGGTAAATACCGCTTCATTGCTCACCACTCCCCTCAGCAGCTGGGAGAGGTACTACCAAACAGAGAGGCACCGAGAGGGTGCAAAGGAGTGGAGTGACTTGTCCTAGGTGATGCAGCCAGCCCTTCAGTGGGTAAGGAATTGGCTGGATAGTCAACAGCTCAATGTCCAGATAGAGAAGAGTGATGAGTGGTGGCTCTCGGAGGTCTGTATTGGGACCAGTACTGCTTAATATCTTCATCAATGACATAGACAGTGGGATTGAGTGCACCCTTAGCAAATTTGCAGAGGACACAAAGGCAAATGGTGAGGTTGACATGCCTGAGGGACAGGATGCCATTCAGAGGAACCAGGACAAGCTCGAGAAGCAGGCCCATGTGAACCTTGTGAAGTTCAATAAGGCCAAGTGCAAGGTCCTGCACCTGGGTTGGGGCAACCCCTGGTATCAATACAGGCTGGAGGATGAAGGATTCAGAACAGCCCTGAGGGGAAGGACTTGGGGGTATTGGTGGATGGAAAGCTGGACATGAGCCGGCAATGTATGCTCACAGCCCAGAAAGCCAACCGTCTCCTGGGCTGCATCAAAAGCAGCGTGACCAGCAGGTCAAGGGAGGGGATTCTCCCCTTGTACTCCGCTCTCGTGAGACCGCACCTGGAGTACTGTGTCCAGCTCTGGGGTCCTCAGTACAGGAAAGACTTGGAGCTGTTGGAGCGAGTCCAGAGGAGGTCAACAAAGATGATCAGAGGGCTGGAGCACCTCTCCTATGAGGACAAGCTGAGTTGGGGTTGTTCAGCCTGGAGAAGAGAAGTCTCTGGGAAGACCTTATTGCAGCCTTTCAGTACCTAAAGGGGGCTTGTGAGAAAGATGGGGACAGACTTTTTAATAGGGCCTGTAGCGACAGGACAAGGAGTCACGGTTTTAAACTAAAAGAGGGTAGATTTAGATTAGATATAAGGAAGAAATTTTTCACAGTGAGAGTGGTGAAACACCAGAACAGGTTGCCCAGGGAGGTGGTAGATGCCCCCATCCCTGGAGACATTCAGGTTCAGGCTGGATGGGGCTCCGAGAACCTGATCTGATTGAAGATCATTGCAGGAGGGTTGGACTAGATGACCTTTAAAGGTCCCTTCCAACCCAAACCATTCTGTGATTCTATGACCTTCCATGCAGGATGTACACCAGAAGCTCATGCCAAGCAAGATTTCAGTGGCCAGCAATGAGCTGAAGTAAATCTGGGGATAATACAATCTAACCTTATAGTAATAACCCATTATCACAGGTAACCTCCAAGAAGTACAAGGGTCCACGCTGCTGCTAGGGCTCAGCGGTGAGGCAGCATGACATGCCCTGAAAGCAGCTGAGCTGAAACTAATAACCCACCCTCCTCTGTGGTCTGATCTTCCCCCGTTGACTCTGAGATCCCATGCACGAGGAAAGAGGCCGCGAGATGCTACAGCAGCACACAACTCCTAAGCCTGTTCCAAATGCTGCTCTGCCACGGGTACCACTAACTAAATCAAACAGAAGCAACTGGGGAGATGGGTCAGAAGGTGTACATCCATCCACCCATCCACTCAGGAGTCCAGCACAAACTGAGAGCTGCTAAGACTAAAACAAGCACTATAACTGTATATCCTCGTTGAGGGGACGAATGAATACACGAATGAAATGCTGTGGGGAACTGTGAAGGCATTTAGTCCTGCCACTATGTTTTCAAAGCAAGTGGAGATTTCCAGCTTAAATGAGCTGTGCTCACACTCAACATAGTTTATTCCATTTCTACTTGCTGCCTTTTTTGCACGCTTACAGTCCCTGGACAAAAAAGTAACTGCAGTCCAAGCTACTTATTTCATACACTGTGACAGAGTAGGACGTTGAAAGGAAGCCAAGGTTTCGGGCACACTGTGAGAACCCTAAATCACCTCTCCTAGAACTGGCAGAAATAGCAGGAGCTAAAATGTTTTGAGAGAAGGATTCCAACGCAGAATTGTATGAGAGTGCTTTCACTGTATAGGTACTGTTCAGGTACCACTTCTACTTCTAATACTGAAATTTTTCAAGTCACAGATCTTCTGGGCTCTATCCACAGGCAAAATCTGACTCTGCATTGGTCCTTATTGCATCTCCATATACTTCTAGACTATTTCATGAGATCGCTAACAATCTTGCTTGTGTATATAGTCTTCAGGAATAAAAATTCTGGCTTTGGACTCGTTTTTTAAAGTGCCACATGTATTTATGGTGCCATATAAATAATACATCACCCAGGGACTGCAACAGCGGAAGTCATTCAGATTTTCTGTACAACATCTAAGAGTAGTATCACGGAATCAGCAATGAGGCATCAAGTATATAAAAATAACAGTTATCTAACCCTGATCTGCAGTGCCTAAGTATAATTCCATGTAGAACTTAGCAGCACGTGGTGGCATTAAAAACCTCTGAGCTGGTTTGCACATGCCTCAGTCATTTGTGCCACAAGCGAAGGAAATCAGGTTTCCAATGCACTGTTCTGCTTAGGAACCACCCATGCTTTCTCCTCCCCACCTAGGCAGCGGTACCATACCTGTACTAACACGGCTCTCTGTGGCGCGGGGGTGCAAGGGCTGGAACTGCTGCCAGACCCCATCCTGGCATGTGGTGTGGCTTCATGCCCCAACACCGCTGGCCACTGGAGGGAAGGCTGGATGCTGTCACTTTTCTTTTTTCGGTCCTCGGCCTGAGAATGAGAAAAGCAGCAGCATGTTGCACACTGAGCCTCAGGCTTTGCAGCCTGGATGTTCCCCAACAGCAGCACAGTTCACATCGACTCTGATGGACCTCCCCATCGGGAAGAGGTCATCCCTGGCGCAATATGAACTGTTACTGCCTCTCCATTTGCAACCGTTCCTTTTCCATCAAGTTTCCAAACTGCAGCAAGGAAAAGGCCCTGAGCTGCCATCTGCTGTGTTCTAGGCCATCCCATTTGCTGCAGGCTGGGATTTTACCTGGGAGGAATCATCTGTCTGTATTTACTTATCTTGGACAACATGCAGCTTGTTTTGCTGTGCACTTATTGCCCCCTTCTACAGCATTGACATTATTGCATGCTGCTTTCTACTTTGAAACACTTAACACTATTTCTTGGTGTGTTACTTGCACTATGGAAAATACTGAGGAACATGATCTAGAAGGAATAAAGGTCCTTTTATTTCCTGAGGGTATTGCTCATTACAAAAATCTTTATCCTATGGTTTTGACCCCGTTACTCTTTCCAGTTTCATTCAACATGACTAATTCCCATTCTCTAGTGTAAATCTTTAGCATATCCTCTGATTCAGCAGCCTAGAAACAGCTCTACACAGTAAGCTAGAGATTAATGCCATAAACACACTGTTATCTGTGTCTGGGTGGGCATTCTTAATGGTATCTCTCACTATCTGGATGTTTGTGCCTATGTCATGAAGGCAAGCATATTCTTAACACAGCCTAGGAAACTACTGAGGAGATGGAAAATGATTCAACTTAGTCTCACAGATCTTGATTGGGGAAAAAAAGAACACACACACACAAAAAAAAATCACAAAAAACCCTTATTAAAACAAGCAACCACAGCCAAATACCATGAAATTCCAACCCCAGTGAACTTGATCGTTATACTACTCTTGAGGCCAGATTTTCATTACTTGCAACTCCTGATAATGAAAGGCAATTTTTACCATAAGCAAGAAAGAAAATGTAAAAATTAGAGTGGTTTCACTAAGCTAGATGTGATAATTTACCTACCACATCTGCGCCCCAAGGGTGCTTGAATGCAATATATTATGATCCAGATGCAAACTCATGCAGCCAACACTGGGCTCCCAGAACTGACGCCAGCCCCTAGCCAGGCACCGAACTAGCGCAGCATCAAGCCCAAGGTAGGAGTCCTTGACTCTCAGTTCATTATCTCCAGTGCCGCTGGGACTAGACACAGCAGAGAGTGAACTCACATCTGCACGCACCGGGGGAAACCGGCCCTGACCTGCCTGCGACAGGATGAGTGCAGTGGCAAAGACAAGGAACTCCCATGAAAAGGTTCTGTGGCCCCAAATATTAAACTTGAGGCTTTGAAGGGCTTTAGGGTTTTTTGTTTGGTTGGTTTTAATGCTTCAATGCAAAAATAATTCTGGAGAGTTTTTGTGTATCAATAATTGGTCCTGCAAATGCCACTAAGCCCAAAAAAAGTATGCAAATAAACCTGATCTTGAGTAGGCTACCTCTATCCCCATGTAGATCTCTTCCAACAGAGAAATTAGCATCTCTTTGGCTAATAAACTGGGACAGATCAATATCAACAAGAACAAATTCACTGAATTAACACTGTTACAATCAGTCAAAACTATAAAGCATTTTTACATTGTGAACAATTATGACTGCTGACGTAATTACGAAGTCTCAAACTTCAAAAAAAAAAAAAGCAACCTTGTACCACTAATTATGATTTTAGTGGAAGGATTGTGACTTCCAAGAAGTTCTGAGATTAAATAAGTAATACTGTAAAATAATTTGTCCTTAAAACTAGAGTATATCACGGTAACCATAACGACACAAGCCTCGTGCTGTGAACCTAAAAGGCAGGCAGCACTTTATCTGCAATTAGTGATATTTTATTTCACCACTAAATTAAAAGTTAACAGTGACTGCACACTAAATTCCATAATACATGTCATTCTGCTACAAAGGAGTCATTTACAAAACACATGCCAAAACCAGAGATGAGTATTTAAACTGACATTTGCAGTTCTTCTGACTTCTAACTAAAATGAAGTAGAAAAAGAAAGTTAAATTAACACAAATGACTTGCATTTTCTCCCCACCCACTGAAAGCCTACCAAAGACAAAGCATTTCTATTGACTTTGATGTAGTGTATTAAGTAAAAGCAGCTTACTTCTCTGTCCACACTCAATTTACTCCCCAGCCGGAATAAGACCCAGCCCTTCATCATCAAACAAATACCGATTTCAAGAGGAGTTCATTCAAATTTCAGTAATGGTTTGTTTAATCACTCAATGCAACAAAGCCTTTGGAGCTAGGGCATTTGGTTTTTCAATAGTTAAGTTATACTTTTAACAGAATTATTCTCATGTTTTCACAAACTACTATTCTAACAAGGAGCTTAGTACCTTTTGTTTTCATAGAATCATAGACTGGTTTGGGCAGGAAGGGACCTCAAAGCCCATCCAGTTCCAACCCCCCCCTGCCACGGGCAGGGACACCCTCCACTAGACCACGTTGCCCAAAGCCCCATCCAACCTGGCCTTGAACACTTCCAGGGATGGGGCATCTACAGCTTCTCTGGGCAATGTGTGCCAGTGCCTCACCACCCTCATAGAGAAGAATTTCTTCCTAACATTTCATCTAAATCTACCCTCCTTCAGCTTAAAGCCATTACCCCTTGTCCTGTCGCTATATGCCCTTGTAAACAGTTTCCTGATTTCATATTGCTGTCTAGTTGTTTGCAGACTCTATTCAGTTATTAAAATTCAGCATTTCAACAATCCTAGCAGTTTCATTTAACTGTTTATCAATATAGAAAATTTCAGCTAAGGAACCAGTTGCAGCATGCACACACACAAAATTGGTGACAAAGAAGGCACTTGCTTAAAGACTGCACCAAGATGCTAAAAAGCAGCGCTCTACATTCCTCCTACATACATATGCATGAGCTCTCCTCATGTCTTTGCTTGGGTGCTTTGGGAAGATGCTTTGCCATGAATGCAGAGACCATCACATCTACCCGAGGAGGCACCTGCAAGCTACTGAGATTTTTGCCATCAACCCAGGCTTTAGTAACGCAACGAATCAAACCCGCTGGGCTCAAAAGTTGGGATTGTATCAAAAAGAAAAATAAGTGTGCTAGGAATGACGAGATAACATATGTGAAATGGACCCGTAGCTTTTCACAATATGATAACAGTAAGCACAACAGGTTGGTGGGCAGAAATACTTTCAGACTTAGCAAAGGAGTGAAATGGATTACAATGCTTAATTGAGGACTATATGTGGCTACCCCTGATCCATCAAATCTTACCTACTTAAAATCCTGGGAGAAAAAGAAGAAGAAAAGATAGCACAGCCTGACGTTGAGGCACAGAGATCTGTGCTTGGGAGGCATGACACTGTTCTGTGTCTGGGTCAGTTTTGTGAACCCTAAAATCAGGTGAAGTCATCTGTTAAAACCTCAGATGATACTACCTTAATTCATTTATCTTTGGAACACACCTGGTTGACCAGAAGGACCCTGTTCCTCCATGCACCACTCAAACCCTTCTCTGAACTTGAGTCGAATTAACAGAGCAACCTTTCATTTCCCTTATCCTCTACATGAATGGAAAACAAAAGCTTCACTATAGCAAGACACAAGTCAAGCTCCAGATTTATGTTTAAAGATCAGTCTGTTCTCTGTTTCAGCATTACCACAGCATCATAAACTGCAAAGCACCAAAATGTTACATTGGCCGAGACAGTACCTCTTTGCTTGTACTGCTTGATGGAGGATGCAGTGCTAAATTTGAACTCTTGGAAGGCTCCTTCTTCTTCTGCTTGTGGTCATGCTGGAGAGACAGCAGCTGTGTCTGATCTTTGGGGAGAGTTCGGTGCACCTTCCTGTTGTGTGGCACATCTTCCACCTTCTAAAAGCAAAGAGCAATGAACCTCAGAGAGAACAATGTCCTGGAGGACAACCAAGTTGACTGCTGGAAACACTGGCTTTTCAAAGAACAAAGTGAGTGTAACTCCAGCAGGGCTCACAGAAGTGCCACAACCCCGAGCAATAGGAAGCATAAAGTGATCCCAAACACTCTCTGTTTGACTTTTGAGACAGCACATCAGAAAACCGTGGGTTTTTTTGCTTTTTACTTTCCCAAAAACCAGAGGGCTTTAATCAAAGACTCCATGCTTCTGTTTGATTACAAAGCAGTTTGCTGCTGAAACATTAGAAAAACATTGTGGCCAAGGTGTCAGACTTGACAATGAGACTTCAGCATTAAAATTAACCTCTTCTCCATTTTCACTTGTGAAAGAGAAACAGTCTTGGTTAAAACCCGAACAGAAACTGGAGACTGAAGATTTACACTTAGGTTGAGCTGATGCTGGAAGCTTTCAGCGTAAAGGTATTTTAAATCAGATTGAAGCCACTGAAGCCCATTTCAGCATGGAGAGATGGCAGGGACAGAAGTGGGAGAGGCAGTGTCATTACTATAGATAAGGAGGATGACTCAGTAACTGTAAGCTAACTTGAAAGAAGGCTGAATCTGCGAACAAGAGGCAGTAATTGTATTAAAAAAGTCCCTCTCTGGCCTGTGACTCAGAGAATGGGAACACCCTCAGGGATCTGAGGAAGACATCAGCTACAGGAACAGGGACCCGCAAATTGCTGTCACCACTCTTTCATACCTGCTTCTTTTCTGACTTCCGCTGTCCATCTACTATGAACCGTTCATCTTCCACAGCCCTTTTGTCGTCCTTACACCTCTCCTCCTTCCTCTGAGTGGCCTTGGCCTCTGGCCACCTCTGCTCACACTCCTGCTGCCTTCGTAGCTCCTGCTCTCGCCTCTGATGCTGGAAGAGAGCCAGGGAATAACATTGCTTATTTTACTTTACTTCTGTACCCACCAATTACTTAAGCCAGTGTTCATTAATCACAAGGCCTGTCTCCTGCTATGCAGCCACTAACTGGGGACACTCGAAACGCTGCGCAGCAGAAGCAGACAGCCACAAGCTGCCACCACAATGACTGCCAAACCTGAAGCGAAACCTTTGCCCTTTTGGCAGCCGAGGGCAGATTTGCCGTTCATTTAAGCAGGCGTGTGAGATCTCTGTGATGGCTGGCAGCTAATCTAATGACAAATGTCTTCCTGTCGTTTTGAGAAGGAAGGGTTTTTCCAGAGTCCACCCCCCCGCATTTTGCTGGAGCAGAACTATGCTTCACAAATGCCAGCTCCAGAGTGTTTGCACAATGCTTGAATTTCATCAGATACTCATGAGAAGAGACACACTGGTGATTTAGCAATGCCTCCAACACCATAGCATGTCAGACAGCTGAAATGGCAGCAACTATCTTGTAACACTGAAAACAGAAGCAGGGCCAGGACTCTGGATCAGACAGACTCCGAATTGGGCAACGCACACAAGAAATATCAGGATCTCTCATCCCACCTGCCTGGGCTTCCACCGCCAAACAAACTCAAGCAAAATGTCCTTCCTCTTCTGCTCCCAAAGCTCAGGGCAGGTTGTCAGCAGGAAAAGGACAGAGCCCTCTCAAAATCATTGTGTTCAAAAGTAACACAGTTCTCCCGAGGCTAAAGATTACAACCCAGGTTGTGCTGAAAACTAACACAGCCTTCTTTGCCTTTCAAAGCCTACTCTCTACAGGCGTATTTTCTATTTGTGATGAGACATAGAACAACAATACAAGTCAGTCCCTACATCCTCCAGCCGCCGCCTCTGCTCTTTCTGCTGGTCGATGCGCTTCTGCCGCTCTGTCAGCAGCTGCTTCTTGTACTTCTCCTGGTCCTTCAGCTGCTGCTGCTGGCGATGAGGGTCAGAACGGTTTTTGTTCTCCTGCTGCAGCCTCAGAAATTCGCGACGGAGAGTCGACTCCCCCGGGAGATTAACTATGGAGCTGAAAGAAAGGGGCGGTTTGTACATTACTAAACGTAACATTAAAGAGAGAATACAAGGTGCATTGGGAATTGGTGTCCTGTGTTAGCAAATTAAGATGTTCCGGTAAATCCCCAGCATGTTGACTATGCATCTGCGCTTACTGTGCTACAAAACAGCCTGAAGCTGATTATTGGGTCCTTCATTTGAGAGTTTTCTCCCTATTGCAATGAAACTAAGCAGCAGCTCATTACAAACATCTACTCTGCAGTTATATTTGAGAGCTACAAAACAGTTAAAGTTACCAGAGGGGATACAGGAAATAAGGGATTCAGAGCAAGTTAGGAAAGCCATTCTGGCTGAGGAGGGCTGCCTTCAATGAGAACAGCTTGGGCAGTCAAATTTTTTATTCCAGTAATAAAATTAACCTTGGTTCTCCTTCATCTTCATTCAGCTCATCATCTTCCTCCTCACTTCCACTGTAATCATAGTCCGTTTCTTCTAAAAAAAGAGAACAATAAACAAACCCCAGTGGAGGATGCTGTTATTTAAGATATGATCTTGAACTTTCTTTCTGAGCACTCAGCCTGAACTACATGTAGCTCAGCAAGAATTTAAAAGCCACAGGTTGCACTGGGAAGCTGAGGGGAGGCGAGACATCCACGTACATAATTCAAAATCTAGTTCAGATAATGTTTTAGGGCAGCTCCTTTACACACTCCCACCTTTTCCCTTGACTGACTGTATTGGTTTTGCAAGACTAACCTATTTCCATCATCTGAAATAAATTAGGCTAAACCCACAGAGAAATCCAACCCCCATAACAGCACCAGCAGAGGGGTTCTTCAGAAAGAAATTTAGATAGGACACGAAAGACTCGCACTGCCCTTCTCTGCTGCTATCTACCTCTTGTACGGCTAAGCTGAGGCCTTCAGTAAGTCCAGGTTTCCTTTTGTATTGAAGTGAATAATTAAAAAAAAAGAAACAGGGATAATAAATTAATGCTAGCTTTAGCACAGCCATTCAGAAGCTGACCCATACTTTTAAAGTTCTCTTCAAGACTAATATGAGGGCAGCTTTTAATGGATAATTTCAAACTCGTCCTACTCTGCATTGCTGGCATGCTAAAGTGGGACTTCATTTTTTTTTTTTTTTTGAAGTCACTATTTTGAAGTGTATAGTCTGGCAATTTCACACTGTTCTCCCTTTCAGGGGAGCTTTGATTAAAAATAGCACTTTTCAGGTCAAAATATAACTATCTATCAACAAGTGATTGTTACCATTGCATTTCCCCCCGCCTCTGCCCCCAAGGGCATTTGTGAGAAACTCTAATTCTTTCCATTAGAATGTGCTTTGAGATTCACAGCTGAAAGAGGTGGTGGTATTTGCAACTAATATTGGAGTCGTTAAACCTACACTGCATCAGCAATTTCATTTTAGGCACAAATAGTCCTGTTGTCAAATCAATACTTGGAGTTTCTAAGTCACTTTCCAACTATATCGTGCTTCCCAAGTTTGCCCTCATAGTCGCTGATCTTCACAGTGCCCCTGCCAGTACAAAATATAAAGAAGAGGAAGAGGGGAGAGGGCAGGTAAAATCCATGGTCAACAGGCTACGGCACTCTCTGCACTTTGCAAAGCCCTTGATCTGCTGTGCACAGGCATTCGCATAAGTATCATCCTCACTCCAGCACTGCTTCTTCCAGGTTTTGCTCTGAAGAGTAAAGCTAGCATTTGGAACAAACTCAGATTCTCTCTTTTTCTTCAGCCACCCTGTGAAGTAGATGATTCATTATACCCATTTGTGTTTTGCTGGAGCTTGGAGGCCTTCTCGAGGTCTCTTTTGTGCACTCCACTGCAAAATGCTTAAAGAGCACCTCTGCCCCAAAGAACTCACAAGCTAAAATTACATGGAGGTGCAACAGGTAAATTAAATGGATCAGGGACAGACAGATGAATTAAGAGACTAGGAAATGCTTGTTGAGTACTATTTAGATACTCAAAAAAGTAGGGACCTAAACTTTAATTAGACTCCTCACTCACATTAGCATTAAGGTTGCTCTCAGTGAATCAGGGTCAGTCAGGCTCCAAGGACTTTAGCACTTAAACACCATTAAGGACCTGGGCTTTGGCAAAGAGATCTTCAAAACAGTCCCACTGCTGTCAAGGACAACACTTTCTCACAGTTTTCATGGTTCTAGTATTTCAGTTGCATCTGCCTTGCACTCTGCTGCCAGAATTGGAAGAGGACCTACTCTCTGCAGTGTCTTTTATTTTGTTTTTGCCATGTTACCCTTTTCTCCTTTTTTCTTCCTGGTCCTGTCCAGGTGGTCTTTCAGCATGATGCGCACTTGCCGTTCATTCTGCATGTCTCGGATGAAAGAATGCTTAAGCAAGGTTTCAGTGGACGGACGATGCAAATAATTTTTGACAAGACAGCTTTCAACAAAGTTTAGGAATTTCTTTGACCTGAAAGAAAAGTGGAAGAAAACACTCAACTTGTATGTCAAGCACTACCCCTGAGTGATGGAAAGCACTAACTTTGCAGGGTTTCCTTTTGCACTGGAACTGTGTGAAACAACTTGAGTTTTGCCACCAGTGTGCCTCCTGAGACCAGCACAGTGCTGAGGATGAATGACGGAGAACTCCACCCCAACCACCCTCTCAGTGGAGTAACCCTGAATTTACATCTGGATCCACAAAACCACAATCTCGCCAATGCAACTCTTTAAAAACTGCCCTTACCCTTTGATATGGTGAAGATTTTCTTTATGCATTCATTTAAAAAGACAAAATAATTCTCTGTAGGCCACAGTGACTGCCATTGGCCCCACAATGACCACGCGGTCTTCTGACAAAGCGCTGACCCAAGCCTTGCCTATACTGCACCTTCAGCCATCCACGCCAGACTCTTGCAATGAGTGCTGCAGTTTAGGCAGAGTTCAAAAGAAAGGTGTTGCTTCTCAAAGGTAAACTACCTCTGCACTTGTGGCTTAACCCATCACTAGAAACAGCCTAGGAATGACCTCATAGATCACTGTAGGATTTAACAAAGTCATTGTCTCTGGACCAGAGTGCTCAAAATCCTTCTGAGCCCAATGCAGCAAAAATAGAGTTTTTACAAATCTCTTTACCATTTTCTGGATTTCAACTTTGGGGGCGGGTTCCGTGGGATGAGGAAGAGCGCTCTCATGGGGTGCATGTCACACAGGGCTGCAAAGGAAACCACAAGCTATTGAAGGGTGCATGTCCCACCCCGCGTCCCTCCCACAGCCTGACCACGCTGACCCAGCTGGGCCAGGAGCCTCGTTCTCTCAACAGAGAGGAGCAGTCCTCCACAAACACTCCCACTTCCAACAGCACAGCATCCGCCGCAGAACCACACCATTAGTCAACGAAATTCGCACTACAGCCAAGAAATAAAGTCTCCGAGTACACAGAGATCTTTCACGACAATGAACTGTTATTGCCAGTTAAAAGAGATTTGAAAGAAAGGCTGCATGGCAGGAACAAGTACAACTTTCTTCATATTTTTTATATATAAGGCTTCAGAAGGATGTAAAAAAAGCTCACCTTTCTCATAGACCACAAAGGGTGTTTTTGCATAAATAGAAGTTAAAGTTGGGATCAAAATACTTAGTAGTTTATTATGTCTGGGTCATGATTCAGATAAACAATAAGTTAAATTTTAACCAAACTCTTAGCTATGTTGTTCATGGCACGAAAGAAAATGCAGGATGAAGAAAATTTGATGCAAAGCGGAGAGTTCATAAACTGCATCGCTGGCACAGGGCGTAATGACTAAGCACACATTTAATCTAGTCTGTGTTTCAGGAAGTGAGCACCATTATCAGACAATCTGCAACAGATTCTACTCATGCATTCAGATGCTGGTTTCTCTCCAGCCCAATGTACTTCTCTTTAGCGTTACTGTTGTGGAAAGTTGAAGCTACAAAGAACTCTGCAGAAAGTAAATACCATTGCATCTCATCCATCCCAGGTGTTTTGTTTGGAATTATGAGTGTACTCCGTCTGTCACGGAGAAATATCGAAGGTCAGAGGTCTTCCTTCACAAAACAGAGCTACTGAATGACAACTAAAAGGAACTATATGGAGGCTGATTTCTTATGATATACAGGTGTTCAGCAGTGATCCTCTTAACAGGAATGGCCTTACAGCATGACAGAACCAGTAAAAGTGAGAAGACTGTGGCCTGGCAAAGCCTTCACTGCCTTCTATTAATTTCTCTGCCTGCATCCACCTGCTGTCATTTCTCACATCTGGGTTCTGCACTGGACTTTTTCCTTTGTATTTTCAATAGCACGTGGAGATGGGGGGCAGGAGAAGTTTGGTTTCTAGCTATGGGTCCCAGACACTGTTGTACTACAGGAAACAAAACACAATGCAGCAGAATGTAATCCATATTATTTCCCTGCCAAAACTAGCGAAACAATCAAATACAAGCAGCACGAGGAATTAGCATGCAAAGCTACAAAGTCTCTCTCAAAGAAAACTCCCCATGGACTCATGTCTCAGGACTAAAGCTTCAGCTAGGCTGAAGCACAGTGTCTGAAAGCGCTCCTGAACTCCAGCTGGCTCCTGAGCACTGCTAAAAACCAAGTCTGACGGGAGAACAGCCAAGCGTGTTTTCGAAAAACACAGCCTACGTGCTCTCAGGCTCAGGCCAGAGTATAATTTATTTCATCTCCTGTGCTCTCAGCAGTGACCGGATACCCCATCACATCACATCTGCTTTGCGGGCGCTGGGGCAAAGCAACCAGTCCTCCATGGAAACGCACGAGGTCTTTGCATCCACGCTGCAGCCACTGATCTCTGCCCGACGGCTGCGAGATGCTAACCGGAGGAGTAAGGGGGACAGCTGGCAGGCGAGGGCAGGCTGCAAAACTATGGCATTCTGCTGTCCCGATGAGAATGTGGTTATGGACCAAAGCCATTACGTGAGCAAATACAGCAAATACAAATTCATCCCAAAACCTGTGAGAATCAAGTCAGTCCCAGAATTAAAATATAACCTTTAGGCCTGTAGCTTCTCCCACTGCCCTATTTTTTTTTCTAGTGACCTAAACCCAAAGCCACTCTTGACATTTTTTTCTGCTAATGTGTCAATCACTTCTGCTTAGCTGTACCCACAGGCAGTGATCAACAAAGTGATGCTAACAAGAGCTCTAAGAAAACAATTTTTGTTTCCCTAGGAAATGAAGGCCAAGAATAGAAATATAGACTTTAAAGGGTCTAAAAGGAAGACAAAAGCGAAAGAGTCCAAATGAGAAAAAGTCATAGATTATTTTTAAAGATAGAACCAAAACCAGAGTTTGGTACATCTGTGCATTAGCCAAGCATGAGTTATTTTAAAACAAAACATGTTCACAAAGCATAGACACCCCCACCTTTATACCAAATCACTTACGAGGAGCTCCTTCGGCCATTTCAATAGCAGTGATTCCCAGAGACCATAGGTCACTCTGCAGGAAAAGAAACATTGCACGTTGCAACTTTCAGCATTTCAGCTTCTTTTTCTGTTTGTTTTCTTTTGGGTTTGGGATTTTTTGTTTGTTTTTACAATTTCCCTAGATTTCTCCTGGATTGGGTCATTTTAGTTGGAGTGACATACATTCTGCTCCCTCCCATTCCCTACTGAGCTTTTAGGAAATGTGCTAATCGCCAGAAGCTTCCCATTTCCCATGCAACTCTGAACAGCTGATTCATCATTTAAGCAGCCAGCCCCAAAATGCAGACCTTCTGCATTCAAAAAAACAGAGCCAGAATATAGCAGGCACCGTTTAAATATATGTCTTAAATCTTTTAAACTGTTTTCATGAGGCAGTGAGACACAGCAGTGCCTCAACCCTTGCTCCTGGCCAAAAAAAATCTTGGTCTTAATGCTTATTTCAGGGCAGTCATTGCTGAGTTTCTACATTGATGGAAGAGAAATTATAGTCAGGCGTTGGAGTCTGACGTTTTCTGTCTACTAAATCTCCTGTCACATGTTTTGGGCACATGAAAGGAGAGCACATCATGCAGTCAGATTTATGCCACAGCGTATGTTCAGCTAACTTCAAGTGGAGTTTCCTTCATCAGGTTATCTGGACACTAAGGGCCAGGTTTTGATCACAGAAGGTAAATCAGACACACTACTAGTGACTGTAAAAACTTCACAGGTTTCCACCTGATTAATCATGTGCATTATTTTACTATTTTTTCTGTCTAAATGTAGCCAGATGAGAGCCATGTGATCAAACCCATTTGCAGGGCTTCTCTAAAACTGTCTTTTAAAAAAGGAGTGACAGAAGACAAACCTTCAAAGATTAGAAGCAGTATACCACTATGTGAACAGCAGCTCGTACCCAGCCTGGCACTCTAACTAAATTCGACTTTACCAACAGAACCTTCTCAGTCCAGCTGCTCTGAACTGCTTTACGCAAGCTGAAAACCAGTTCACATTATAGCTTGTGGAGGGATTTGACAACAAAACTGGCGGGAATCAAACAGATTCACAATCCTGCCTTGTTACTAAGTAAATGACTGAAAATTAGTAAAATCTTCTAGGGGTAGTACCACAGGTTTGGGGGACAATGGGAGAAACAACCAGGCTACAAAGAATTTTGGTTTGGAGCTTCAAAGTGGGAGAGGCAGACAGCAGTGCTTCTAAAGGTCAGTGTGTATATATACATATTTATGCATGTATATATATTTTTATATATATTTATATC